TATATATCCTAATATCTCTAGCTTCCCCCCTCAAACACAAGTGAAATGGAACAAATCAACCTGAGTTTGAAAAATAATCCGGACAATATCCCAAAATCTTTGATCGACATGAAATCAGATAGTGGAACCAAATGCATGGCGCAGCTGCGCATAACGTGCATGTGCTTGCTCCAAACTTCCATTGACGATGAGATTTCAATATGTTGATCATCTGACGACGGCGAATCTAATGGTGGTGTCGGCTTCTCGAAATGAGAAGTGAAAAGTCAAGAATCAGAGGTATTAGAGTTGAGCAGCATGCGTCCTTTGTTTTCGAGACAGTAACTTGAATGTGACCGCCACGGCTGGCATGGTTACAGTAAGCGGAATAAGCCAAACTATGCTGAAGGTAAAGTTATTGTGCAAAGATGTGTCTTCGCGGCGTCGAAAAATACCTTTATGGAAAAAGAAAACCTCGACTTGGCAACTCGTCGCCGACTTCGTAACACAATCACTGTGGCGCTTACTCAGACGGAAATAAGATTCTTAGATGAACATTGTCAAGCGGCGGGGATGGATTTATTTTGCTATTGCGGTCCTTTGCTACTACGGTGTGTAATATTAAATGAAAGATTGTGGAAAAAATAAATTTGGGAAATTTCTGGGGTACACCGGGTGCGAAGTGCACTTGGTGCACTAGGGTTGCCTTGGGAAAAGAGGCTCTGACACCATGTGAGATTTTGATGAGACTACTGTCAACTGTTCTAAAAGTTTAAATTATTAGACAAAGGCATGATTTAATAATTAATTAATCTAACATCCTCAATAGAAAGTAGGTTTCTATCTGTTGAAAGCATTTGGAGGTTGGATCAGACGCATGAGACACTGACTTAGATACTTCACGGTGATTTTACGGTGCTAGTTAGCACATCAAGTTCCCTGTAACCTATTTAACGAAAGAATGAGATTGAGATTAAGGCTCCGTTGTTTCTTGAAAAACATTTTGGGGAAACATTTTCCGCATTTTCTAGCGTTTGGATTGCTTAGAAAAATGAGTCAACAGAAAATCAATGCTTAAATTCAAATATCTTTAAAAAATCAGAAATCATTTTTCAAAATATAACTATATATGGGCGCTTAAACCAGAAACTCTGCGCTTGGGCACAGGAACTCTAATACTCGTTCTTGGGCCCATCGCAGTAGGGCCGGATCTACCAAGGCCCATCAAGGGCTAGCCCAAGTCCAATATAGTAGGGCCGAGGACCCCAGTACCCAAGCCCGAGACTCTAGTTCCCAGGCCCGAGTCCATCCAAGCTAGGCCTGGGACTCCTGTTCGTGCCTGGGACCCTAGCGCCCCTGGCCCGGGTCCATCTAGGCCGTGCTCGGGACCCAGGCTGTCGCACTCGGGTCCATCAAGGTCGGGCCTAGGACCCCGTTGCCCATGCCCTAGTCTACGACGTCTACATCCCGGTCCATTGATGCTGAGCCCGGGTTCATTGAGGCCGAGCCTCGGACTCCAGTGCCATTGCTCATGCCCAAGTCCATCGAGGTCGGGCCCCGGACCCCAGTCTTAACAAAATCAACTCCTATTTAGAATTAGATCCTTCCTCTTTCAGACACATTAGAATTTAAATCATCCACCCAACAAAAAAATGAAAACTAACACGAATCACCTTTCAAAAATGAAAACTAACACGAATCACCTTTCCTCCACCTAAAGAGAGCTACACTAGATAATGAACGTGCGCGCACAAAGCAATAGAGAACTTAAACAAGCTGGTCAATTAACAATGTAAGCTCTTTCAGAACAACAAACTTTCAATTCGAACCTGCAATCCTCAACCAAGCGAAAAACTTTCAATCTCGCCAGCCCTCGCCGGCCCCAGGCGAGGTGCTTGGCGGCCCCATGCCCTCTCCTGGGGCTGGCGATGGCCGCCGACCGTCGCCTAGCCAAATTTGGTTGAGGGCTCACGCGCCCTCGCTTTGGCCGGCGAGGGTCGGCCGGGCGGCCACCCTTGCCGGCCAACTCTAAAACCAAAAAAAAAATAGGGAAAAGGAAAAAAAAAGAAAAAAACCATAAAAATTTTAAAAATTATTAAAAAATTATTTTAAAATGTCTACATCAGCGCCACGTGCCCGGCCGGCATCCACGTCAGCGATTTCCGGCCAAAATTGACCGGATAGACTCGATTGGCAAGAAGTAAAGGTTTAGGACTCAATTGCCAAACTTGAAAGGTTTATGACTCAATTGGCAAAAGTGCTGTAGGTTTAGAACTTTTTGGACAATTTTTCCTATAATAACCAAGGTGAAGTGGAATCTCATGAACGCGCTTTCTTGAATCAACAAGAAAATCAATAATTCGATAGGTGAAAAATATAAAAGGGGTCAAGTAAAATCCCCAGTTAAATTCCACCCAAGAAAGCGCGAAGGGATGCACATAATGTGTAAATTCAATTTCCTACAATCTCTAAGTGCCAGTAGTCTTACTAATGAGGCCGTGATTTTTAGCTTGCATTTTGCCTTATTGACAAGGTTATTGTGGTAGTAAAGTATGGATTTCACGAAATCCTAGGGCACTAGCGAAAAAGCTTGACTATCTAGAGACTCCGTGAAATACCCTGTGAACTTCATGAAATTATTTAAGCTTAGGTATTTGGCATGTGCAAGTGGCACTGAACCATAACGGCCTGCACGCAATTGGTGGAATTAGGGGTGTCAAAAAAACCTGGGCCGGCCCTACCCGACCCGGCCCGGCCCGACCCTACTCAGAAATTTGGGGTATTTTAGGGTCGGGCCTTAATCTTCTTTGGATAGGGCCTTTTAGGAGTGGGTAATGTTAGGATTGGGCCGGGTCGGGCTGGCGCGGGTTTTTTTACACCGCTGCCCAATAACACCTCTGTCCCTTTTTGAGCCCTAATTTCCACCCTCCTTCTCTTCCGTTCCTTCTCGCGCCTCGCTTGCTGTCATCCTCTCTTCTCTTCCTCGTCCATTGCATTCACTCAAACACCATCTCTGCATTTGAAGGCCTCGACTGATTTGGTTCCTCAGGGGGAGATCTTCAGCGAAGACGACGGCCACGACGGAGACGAGGGCAACGAGCTTCTAGAAGAAGAAGAGCAAGACATTGGGGTGAGGTGGGGTGAGGCGAGGCGAGGAGATAAGAGAGGGGCGCGTGCGTAGGGGGGATGGGGTGGGGGGGTTGGGGCGGAGCTCCACGGCAAGGCGGACCGGGAGGATCCCAAGGCCCTCCTCGATGGGGTTGCCGTCGCCGGCCTCGTCGGGATCTTGCGCCAGCTTGGCGATCCCGCCGAGTACGTCTCTCCCTCTCTCTGTCTCTCACTCTCTCTGGTTGTTTCTTTTTTTCTTTTGATGCTTCGTCGAGATCTTGCGCCAGCTTCGGAGGTCGTCATGTCGGCGCTCTTGATGACGGTCTTGCGGTCGGCGACGGCTGAGGAGGCCGACGAGGGCTTCTGGTCGTCGGAGCAAGGCTTCGCCGCCGGGGGCTTGGGCAATTTCTTCTTGGACTCGGCGGCGGCGCTCTTTTCCGGAGCTACTCCCGTGGGCCTTCTGGGGTGGTGATTGGGTGGAGAAAGCATTGCTCAACTGATACGGCAAATGCAAAGAGAGAGACAGAGGAGGAGGAACAGAACAAGCCCTCGAAAATTGGACCCTGTTTTAAAAAAAAAACCCTAAATCTAAACCGACCCGGCCCGACCCGACCCTATTCTTGGAGTTTATGCTGAACAGGTTCTTGGGCCGGGTCGGGTCGGGTCGGGTCAAGTGCGACCCTATATATTTCAGGTCGGGTCGGGTATCATGAAAGCCCGACCCGACCCGACCCATTGACACCCATAGGTGGAATGCAACCTTTGATTTCGATGCCAGGAAAAACCTGATGCCTCAACTACGCCACCCATGAAGGTTTATAACAAAGTTAGATGCTTAGTAAGCTACGCTTTTTCGTCCTAAAACAAAATAATGCATGATAATAAGAGTAATGCTAGGTACGTACACAATGGGTCCCATTGATTATGCGATCCGGCGAACTACTATTAAATCTTGAAATAAGCGGGCAATATTTAACATGCAACCAAAGTTTGTCAAATTATTTAGTATCCTCTGTAAACAGAGTCTAAGTAGTGTAGTGTGTGAGTGTATATATATACGAAATCTCGAATAAATCTTCCCAAAGCATTAAATTACGATCCGTACTCGGCTGCGACGCGATCGCATCTCTCCCCAAATCTTTTCCTTCCCGCCACCGACAAGCCCGACTCCCACGCCAACAGTTGACATGTCTTCATGCTTTTAACAAAAACAGTTTGGATCGGACGCAACAAAGTCAAATAATCAAAGCATCCAACTGGGCGCGAAATCAAGATTCCCAAGAAATCCAAGTCAAACCCTGCTTACTTTATTTCTTATGAGCTGAACTAGGTTAAACTAGTCGGGGTTCGCGACGCGCTTGAGTGAGCTGCGATGCGAGGACGTGAACAGCTCGAGCTTGGACCATGAAGTGCGCCGCCAAACGAGTGTTCATGTGTCACTCCCATCGATCCTACGTTTCGAGCTCGATTTGTTAATTGCACTTGTCAGTCTTCTTCTTGATGCAAGGCTCGTTTTTATATAAAGACGTGCATGGGGTTTAACTCCTGGTACTACACATTGAGACCGCACGCATCGTCGTCCTCGTACCTTTCCTCCATTTGCCCTCCATCTGGCGGGGAAGGCTCTGGTCAGTTCCTCTCTACATCGATATGTTTCGGTGCTAGGGTTTCTGAGCTTCTCATCTGCCTCACCTTCTTGCATGGAAGTTGCCTCCTTTTCATTTTTATTGGCTTTTCTGAGCTTGCTTTCTTTTAGTAATTGATGTGGTTATCGTCACGACCTCTGCGCGTGCGTGTAATGTCGTGGAACGATGCGCATGAAAACGAGTTATAGTAAAAGGTGTATGGAAATGTCTTACTATACTGCTACTATGCAGAAATCTGAGAGCTGAGGATACAAACAGTTGGCCAAAATGAGGCAGACCCAATTCCTGCGCATGTTTCTTGTTGTATCCTTGGCATGGCTCAGTGCTTTCTTGGCCAGCGCTGAAGACGCATATAGGTACTTCACTTGGACAGTCACTTACGGAACAATTTCTCCACTCGGTGTACCTCAACAGGTATGTTTGATGTCTTAACTTTCCAATGCAAACATTAGTGTCGTGCAGTTAGCTAGCTCATGCCCCGGGCTGGGGCTATGTAGCTTCCACCGACGCTAGGATGGGCTGTCATGAAGTCAAAATTAAACATTAACGTTCAGACAAAAATTTAATGTAGGACGTGAAATGGCGATATCTAACTGTGATGAGGTATCATGGGGTCAATACGGCGAATCCAAGTTTGCGTTGGAAAGTCGATAAGCGAGCCTTTGTTTGTCAGCTAATTTGAATGATTCTTGCAGGGCATCTTAATCAATGGTCAGTTTCCTGGGCCACCCATTGAAGGTGTCACTAATGACAACATCGTCCTAAACCTCATCAACAACCTAGATGAACCTTTCCTCCTTACATGGTGACATAGAAAATAAATCTCGACATTCCATTTATATCTCCACAATCAATTGAAAACGATGATGATGATGCTGGTTATGTCCGTGTGTCGTTGACAATCAGGAACGGGATCCAGCAGCGGAAGAACTCATGGCAAGACGGAGTGCTCGGGACACAGTGCCCAATCCCACCGGGCACGAGCTGGACATACAAGTTCCAGTTGAAGGATCAGATCGGGACCTTCATGTACTTCCCTTCGACCGCGCTTCACAGAGCAGCTGGAGGTTTCGGAGCTTTGAACATCGCGCAGAGAATAGTCATCCCAATTCCATATCCCACGCCTTTCGGAGAGTTCACTCTTCTTGTTGGCGATTGGTACAAGAGCGACCACAAGGTATGTTGCACATTGTTTTCACCTTTCTTTTCTTTTAATGGAAAAATGCATGAATTATAAGCATATATATTTTTTTCACTCCATGTCGTTCTAGGCCCTACAGCAAAGCCTCGACGCTGGCAATCCTCTCCCTGTTGCCGACGGTATTCTCATCAATGGACGTCCTAATGGTTTCATATTCACCGGTCAAGGAGGTAAAACATTTGCATCATTTGAAGTTATGCGCCTTCGAAAATGGAAAATATCTGCTAACATCGAAATGAAGAGACAGGAATAATCGGATTTTATGAATGTTTGGATGGACATTTCAGGACAAATATACAAGTTCAGGGTTTCCAATGTGGGAATCGCTACTTCGATCAACTTCAGGATTCAAGGCCACAATATCACCTTGGTCGAAGTCGAGGGATGTCACACTCTGCAAGAGGACTACGAATCGCTCGACGTCCATCCGGGGCAATCCGTCACCGTTCTGGTCACATTGAAATGGGCGCCCAAGGACTACTTTGTGGTTTGCTCGTCCCGGTTCACTAAGCCGATCCTCACTGCCACCGGGCTGCTTCGCTACGACGGATCTAACACCCCGGCCGCAATGCCCCTGCCAATCGGTCCAACCTACCAGATCCACTGGTCCATGAAACAAGCTAGGACCTTCAGGTAAATTAATTCTCACATTTTACTTGTGATTCCTTAAGTCAAATCATGACAATAATGATGCCAATGTTGTCCACGAGGCAGAAAGAGAACCTAAAGATTGCAAATTAGAATCCAAAATGTACAAATTTCGGCTAGCATTAGCTAGGTAATTGCCGAGCCGGATTTGAAATTTTGGGCTGGCCAGATGCTCAAGAAAATCTGAACTAGTATATGTTACTCGGCCAGATTAGAATAAGGAAGTATGAAGAGTCGATCTAGAAGGTTTGGTGTTCTCGATAACCCATTGTTTTACAATTACTTGGTGAGGCTTCAAGCGGGCAAAGCAAATTGGTTCAAAATTAATTGTAGGAATTTGATAAAATTAGCCGGTCAACCCTCTGAGAAATAATTCTTTTTGGCTCTTGGGATTTTCAATTTCAATATAAAAAAGACCTTAATTGTTATCTCGGATCTGGTGTCGCCCGTCATTTTTATACTTCTATCCGGAAATCAAAATTAATTGTAGGAATTTGATAAAATTAGTCGGTCAAACCCCCTGAGAAATAATTCTTTTTGGCTCTTAGGATTATCAATTTTAATATTAAAAAGACCTTAGTTGTTATCTCGGATCTGGTGTCGCCCGTCGTTTTTATACTTCTATCCGGAAATCAAAATTATCCCGATTCTCTTTTTTAGTTCAAAATGGCCTTTCTATCTTTTCAAAACAAATTTTTGTTGACGTGGAGGAGTTACTGACGTGGACAGGATTGACTTTCTATTTTCCTGACGTGGGATGGTCTCTCTCTCTCTCTCCTCTCCCAGTTCTCCCCCCACCCATATCGCATACCTGCAAATCACAACCACCACCACGGTGGTCGTCTTTTCCCATAGTCTCGAGGAACAGCGGCCGCATCGTGGTGGTCACCGTCGCCTCAAGAGCCCTATGGGGCCTTGCTCTTGCCCTCAGGTGGCTCTGCTCGTGTCGGTTAGGCGACCTTCTCGTGTCCTCCCGAGTCTCGGGCGACGGCAGCCACCGAGTGGTGGTTTCGTTCGCCGTCACCTCTCTAACTGCCCTTCCCAAGAGAAGAATCTCAGATCTGAGAAAAGGGGCACCACAACTAATGTGAGATTCGCGAAGATCTTCGCCCTTGATTTTTAAGTTTTCGGCTCTACAATGAGCAAACGTTTATGGAAGAAAATGGGAAATTTTTTCAATGCTCTGCTTTGGTGATGGGAAGTGAATGGAAGAAGAAGAGTTTGAGATCTGGAATGTGAGGTTTTTTTGGTGCGATGGAAGTGTATTTGGTCTGAGCATGAAGAGAATCAAAGTCAAGGAGATGTGCTTCAGGTTGAAGCCTCTTTGGATCCTCACGGTGGTTGCCTGAGGAGAGGCAACAACCACGAGGTGGTCGACGGCTAGAGGCACGACGACCATGGCCGAGGCACCGACCACCGCGTGGTGGTGGCAGGCCTCAGTGGTGGTGGCCATGCCTGCAAATCTCTCTGAATTCTGTGTTTTTTCCTGTAATTTTTTATATTCTTGATGTGTCGAGTACTCAAAGCCACATAAGAAATTCTGACTTATCATAAACTATATTTGGCGCGCATGCATTAACGGTTTGCTTTCGTTTGGTGTTCTTTCTTTTTTTGTGCTGAAGGACGAACTTGACAGCCAATGCTGCGAGGCCAAACCCGCAAGGCTCATACCACTACAGCACAATCAAAGTGGCGAGGACGCTCGTCCTGGCCAACGTAGCTACCCAAATAAACGGGACGCTCAGGTACACCGTGAACGGCGTCTCCCATGTCGACCCGGACACTCCGCTGAAGCTGGCCGACTACTTCAACATCCCTGGGGTCTTCACGGTGAACAGCACCAAGGACACTCCTCCCTCAGGGCCGCCCACGCTGGGCCCCGCGGTTGTCGGGACGATGCTCCACGACTTCGTAGAGATTGTCTTCCAGAACACTGAGAAAGCTATCCAGTCATGGCACTTGGATGGCTACAGCTTCTACGTTGTTGGGTATGATGCTACACGGATACATTTCTTAGATTGGATCTTCATTCATTATTGTCACGATTCACGATGGAACTGAATTCCTGCGTAGCTATTTGTACAACATCCAATTACAAAGTACTCTACAAGGTGGTCTCATCTAACTGAGCGACGTGATAGAATCAATTATATGATAATGCAGAGCAGATCCTTTGTGAATCCCACCGCTTTGTTAATTATGTTTAGCTGACCGTGGTCGATGCATGAGCATATTTGTATACTTCCTTTCTAACACTATCTGATATGTTTGAAAATACAGGTACGGTTCTGGTCTGTGGACGCCGGATTCACGGAAAAGTTACAACATGGCCGATGCAGTCTACAGAGACACTTGTCAGGTACGACGAACTACTTGAGAAACATACACCGTCCGCCATTAGGCTTAAATAAAGTGTGAGCAGGCTTCGCAGATAAAAGACGTGAATACAATGTATTCTCGACTTGAATCATACATTAAAAACTTGAGTTCGTGTTCGAGTTTACGATAGAAAAAACACTTCCAACATTTTTCCACCAATGCACTTGTCGTGTAGCCTAATTCCGAGCATTTTCATCCTAGTAGAGCTCGATCTTGAATCAGAGCTCCAGCAATCATGCCCATGAAGCTCAACCGATTAATTGGAGAGCTTCGATTTCGCAGTCCAGTCATGAAATCGGCTTTATAGCGGACCTATTACGATCGAAGTTTAAGATAAACTTCTTGTTGTTTAGCCTACTTAATAAAAAATGTTTGGGAATTACTAGGTATACCCTCTGTCATGGAGTGCAATACTGGTGTCCTTGGACAACAAGGGGATGTGGAACTTGAGGTCGGCGATCTGGTCGAAGTGGTACCTGGGGCAGCAGCTGTACGTCCGGGTCTGGAACAACGAGAAGAGCCTCTACACCGAATACGACATCCCACCAAACGCATTGCTGTGCGGCAAAGCCAAGAGCCTCTAGAGACAATCTCTCTTCCCATTTTTAGCCCCCTTAATTTCGTTCTTTTTTAGTATTTTGGTCTCACTTTAAATTATATAGGCTCGATTTATTCAGCTTTCAGTCACGATGGGGTGACTGTAGATGTGTGGTAAAAAGGAAGCTGGCAAGCGTAGTTATGGTGTTGGAAGGACGGAAATGATTGATAGTTTGAAGTGATTGTTTCTCTCCAATTGTATCTGGAAAATAAACTATATTCACATCAGTTTCTCAGTGTCCATCTTTGTGCATTTCGTAATACAATCTATATCCGGACCTATTCTTTTCGAATAAATGTGCTCCACTATGAAGATTAATAAGAGTTAGTGTGTTAATAAGTGCTTCTAGGGGACTTGTTGAGCTTGACTGGTTAAGGAAGTTTCAACTTTGAATACACTATGCTTTGGATTTTTGAAAACTTTCTTTACTTTATAATATGGATGTTGCCCATGTAATTGGACTGTTTCAATATTTTGGCAATTATTACGTTGAATTAAACGTTATATCTCTTTTTTGTTAAAACGGGCAGGTTGACATTTTGTTGACCGCACATAAAGAAGAGTAGCTTCCAATGCTAATATCACCTTCACCTTCTCCTACTTTCTATTGCCCCTTTCCATCTTTCTTTCTTTACTTTTGGAGAAAATTTTTTCTTATTTTTATGCAATTGACTACGAATTAATTTTTTTATGTATTTGCCAACTGACCACCCTGCATGCAGCCGTGGTTGCCCAGCTCCAGGCTAAGTGTCATTGGGGTCATATGCGGCCCCAGCGATTGAGTGGTGTCACATGCGACTCCAACAAGATTTGTCTCGCCTCAAGTCGTGCGACCCTACCAAATATGCGACCCCAACTGAGCAACATAGGGATCGCACGACTTTGGAAAATTCAATTTGGTCTAGGGTGGCAGATGTCACCAGAACAGGGTGTCATTGATTCCTATATTCCTTACTAAGAAGACAGTATCATTAGGAAGCCCAAATAAGTGTGGCACAATCCGTCATAACTAAGCATAGGTAAAAGCCGATATGCATAAATGCTCCGATTTATTAATTTTTCTACCATTTTAAATCTTCCCTTTTTTTTTTTTTCTTGAAGAAGAAGTTTGAAAAGTGCCCGTGAAAATCAAAGGCTATGCTGGCAATGGCATATGAAATTCTCCACTCAGGAACCTTCTTTTGCATGAGAGTTTGATAGGGATAAGGACACAAGAAGTGCCATAACTTTCGTACGGCGCTCATTTGAGTGCCACAACTTTTTTTTCGCTCACTTGAGTACTACATCAGAGTAAAATAGATTAGTTGAGTGCCACTTCCGACGAAAATAGATCATTTGAGTGCCATTTCTGGCAAACCATCCTCTGTGGATTTTTTTATTAATTTTCCATCCGACGTGGATTTTTTAAATGTTTTTTATTTTTTTTTGTTGAATTTTTTTCTTTTTCTTTTTCTTTTTAATTTTTCTTTTCCTTTTTTATTTTTCCTTTTTTTTTTTCAAGGCTAGCGAAGGTTGCCGGTGACCCTCGCCGGAGGCCTCGCCCTTGACCAAACTAGGCGAGGGCCGCCTCGCCATCGGTCAGTATGGCTGCGAAGGCCCTTGGTGAGGCCATTGCGGCCTCGCCGGCTGCGAGCAAGGCGGCGAAGGCTCTCGCCAGATCTGGCGAGGCTGCCTCGCCCGCGGCCGCGAAAGCCCTTGGCAAGGCCATTGCGGCCTCGCCGGTTGCGGGTGAGGCGGCAAAGGCTCTCGCCAAATCTGGTGAGGCTGCCTCGCTTCTTCAGCCTCCTCTTCCTCCTCCTCCGGTCGAGCCCTCCATTTTCTGTCCTCTCAGCAGGCTGAGGATGGTCGTCGACCGCCTCCCTCTGGTGCCCGGTTCGTGCATCATCACCACGAGTTGGCTCATCTTGGCTCACACCCAGAAGCCCAAAGACATCAAGAATGCCAAAAAGGAAACGAACCTCTTCCTTTAAAGAAATATCTTGAGGAAAACATGAATGTACCGCAGCAAAACTAAAAAAATCAGCGGAAGATTATGAGGGGAATTAGGAGGGGCTTACGGTGGTGGAAGTCTCGTGAGTTCCTTCAAGAAATGACACGACACGGAACAGAACAGAACAGAACTGAGGGCAACAGCACAGCCCACCTCTGGTTTAACTCAGGCCTTCGCGGCCTCGTCAGCAACGGGCGAGGCAACGCCCGCGGCCACGAAGGCTCTCACCAGATCTAACGAGGCCGCCTTGCTTGCGGCCGCCCAGATTTGGCGATGGCCTCGCAGTCTCGCCCGCCGCCGGCGAGGCCGCGACGGTCTCACCTAGGGCCTTCGCGGCCGGGGGCAAGGCAGCCCTCACCCAATCTAGGCAAGGCCTTCACAGCCGGCGAGGGTCGCTGGTGACCCTCGCCGGCATTGAAAAGAAACTTTGAAACAAAAAAGGAAAAAAAAATTTCAAAAATTCAAAAAAATATATAAAAATATTGTCTACGTCAGATCCGGCGAAGCCACGTAGGACGATCGGCGTCCACGTTGGATTTTTTGGCTGCCAAATGGCAAATGGCACTCAAGTGATCACTTTTTCAAATTTTTGGCATTCAAGTAAGCGAAAAAAATGTTATGGCACTCAAGTAAGCGTTGTACGAAAGTTATGGCACTCCTAGTGTCCTTATCCCGAGTTTGGTATATCATAGTTGTCTTAATATCATACACTTCTCGTATTCGGCTAAATGGGTGTGTACCGGCTGGCAAAAGTGTTTGGACAACATGGATGCGTTTAACAATCACTCATATTTATTAGCTTTAAGGATTTTCTTCATCAAGTTCAAATGGATAGCAAGAGATATTTTGTTTTGGTCCATGGAGCCGGAGGCGGAGCTTGGTGTTGGTACAAGGTGGCGATGCGACTCAAATCGGCCGGCCACCGCGTCACCGCCCTAGATCTGGACGGCGAAAGCATGGAGTTGGCAGGGCCGAACACGATCTTGACGATAAGCGATTTTGTGCGGCCGCTATTGGAACTGATGGCCTCTTGTCCCCAGGACGAGAGGGTTATATTGGTAGGTCACAGCTACAGAGGGTTTTTTCATTTCGCTAGCCATGGAGAGCTTTCCCGAGAAAGTCGAAGTGGCAGTTTATGTCGCAGCATTCATGCCTAGGCCGAAAATCCCGCCTGCACTTCTCTTTCAAGAGGTACGACGGCACAAACATGTCTAATAACCTTGGCATTGTCCTATAAATAGCTTAGTTTTTTCAGGGAAAAGTTTATTATTCGGAATGGTTTCGGGACAGAGCTCATGACTTTGATCCATTTTTGCAATTACATTAGTGTAACTTTATATATGCGTGATGGGGCTTCGAAATATTTCACACACGAGTCTCTAATTTGCACTTTAATGCCGTTCCTTTACTTTTTGAGTTCTCCAAAACAGAAAAGAGACCATGTTGATCAACCTGAATAATAACTTTCTTGAGGAGCTTTATTATTAGGTATACACTCTACAGTCCCAGTGATATAAGTTCCTCATACGCTTTTCTTTGAATTAGCCTTGAGAGAAATCAAACTGGAGGCGTCAATGAATCAAAAATATACCATTGATCATAACCATGATCGTGGGGAGACAGATGACTTCATGACCAAGAACGTGTACCAAAACTGTCCACCAGAGGTGAGATTCGCACATAACTACTCCTCCCACATAACAAATAAGTAACAACGATGTATACTGTGGAATCACATGTACCACAGGACCTGGAATTAGTAAAGATGTTACCAATACGACCGGTGCAGGTGTTCATGGAGGACTTGGCAGACGAATCCTTCCTTACGGAAGAGCGATTTGGGCCAGTGGAAAAGTTTTTGTGGTGTGTGTAGATGACAAGCTAATGGAGGCTGACTTTCATTGACGGATGATCGATCGGAGTCCTCCCAAGGCGGTGAATCTGATCACAGAAGCCGATCACATGGGCATGCTCTCCAAGCCCCATGAGCTCTGTCAATGCTTTGAGGATGTTGCAAAGAATTGCAGTTGAGAAATGGAGTTCGCATTTGCACCATAAGCAATGTGCCACATTATTGTTACTATAGTAACTCTGTGGACTAAATAACATGACTGTATTCCCTAAACCCTCACATTCGCTTACATTTGCTTTTCTTAGCTTAATTCTTGATTTGAATCTTGTCGTTTAATCAAGTCAAAAGATTTGCAAACTATTAAGCATAACCCTAATATGCTAAACTGTACCTTTTTCAGTCAAAACAGAATGGGACAATCACCGCAGGACTCCTAAAACAGCATGTGACAATTGCCACGAGTCCTAAAACGGAATGAGACAATCACCACAGATGTCCCAAAAGTACATACGTTCCTGCATTTGTATTCTAAAACTTTCATTTCGTGTATATATTTTTCAAAACTTGTCATAGTCGTACAATTTAGCCTTTGGTCAGCTCCATTAGGTTTTGGCAGACGGAAAATCCATGTGGCATTTTTTATTAAACCGCCATGTACAATTGAAAAATCATAAAAAAAAGCCTCGCTATGTGGTCCACTTAAAACACGGAGTTAATGAAAAGACACAAGTGCATTAAAGTTTCAAGTTTTTAGGATTTAAATACATGAAATCAAATTTTTAGAACTTAAATGTAGTATGATGAAAAGTTTTACGACTTACCCCAAACAAAATTCTTAATATCATCGTAATTAAACGGTTACAGCAGCACCTTCTTCATTTGCTTACACTTGCCTCTTCATAGAGGGAACTGTTGAGGAAAAAATGCGAAAGCTAATGAATTTTGTAATTTACATCTAATAAGAGAAGAAGAAACTTCCAAAGAAATCACGAAGAACAACAATGATACCGGAGATTTACGTGGTTGAATCCGATTGTCCGTATCAATTCCATAGGAAGAGCCAGTTGTGAAAGAATCCACTATTGTTTGCTTTAATGTGTGACAACCAAGTATAATTTCATCTCTTATATTTGTAATATTTGTAACAAAAATAGGAAACCCCCTTTAAGAAACCTACCCAAGCATACATTTGGAACTGACATATGCTTAATCAAACGCCAA